TTTGTTGATTTTGTAAAATGAAAGCAAAATAGTCTTTGTCATCTTCAATCCCACCCACATAGAAATGTTAATCTCAATAAAGAGGATTCATAGCCACATAAAAATATGCCATTTTTGTCGACCAAACATAATTTATGTGAGGCTCCATTGAATTGGTAACCCAATCCCATCAGGTATGGAGCTAAATAAACATAAACTATGGTTAAACTTTAATAATAGAATAATCATATAAGAGTGTGTTTGTTTGGAATGGATTGGATTGGATAAAGGGGAATTAGAATCTATCGAACTGTTAATCTTGACATACATTGTCCTGGACTATTTGGTTAGATTGAATTTGTATCCTATATATTTGGTTAGATTGAATTTGTATCTCATGTTTATTTAGTCATGTGATTAGATGTCAGGAAAAGACTATTTGGTTGGATAGGATACGAATCCTATGTTTGTTTGGGATATTATGGAGAATGATAAATGTTCAAATGACTATTTTACCCTTTTCAATTATTCACTAAGTAATGATAATATTAAACATATCTTTAATATTTTAATTATTTTTAGCAAGATTAAATAAAAATTTATTTTATTTTATTTTTTACACAATTAAATAAATTTATTTTTAAAAAATAAAATTAAATAAATAAATAAAATATCAATAAAAATATATGTTATTTTTTAATAAAAATTTAAAATAAATTTATTTTAAAAAATAATAATAATTAAATAACGAAATTAAATAAAACATCTATTAAAATTTAAATAATGAAATTAAATAAAATTATTTAAAAAATTAAATAAATAAAACATCAATAAAAATTAAACAAAATTATTTTATTTTTAAATTGAGACATTTAAATTTTATTAAATTTTACTAAACATAATACATAATTAAATAGCAGAGAGGTCAAAATGATCATTTCACCACCTAATCTCATATCCCCTTACCCCCCATTTGTGTCCCACTCCCCATGGAACACAATAGTCCAACAGATTTGGAACTAATAGTCTAGTATAAAAAATTTGAACTAAATAACGAACTATTAATCCGAATAAACTATTAATTTAATCTCATAACTTAATCCCTCAAAACAAACACCACCTAAGTGCCTATTGAATAAAGAAATCGTAATCTTTAATGTCTTTTATTTCTCCGCCTTGAAATAATGATATTAGTGAATCAAAAATGAAGTGGAAAAGGAACCCAATTGGCAAATGCTTATCTAGAGGGACAAAGGGGTTCCTCGAGTACTATCACAAATCCTTCACTGTCCTAGTGAGGGGACTGTTTGATACACGCCAATTGTCAAGGAGATAGGATAAAAGGAAGGGACAAAAATATTTTTGAATTCAATGGTGATGTTATGAATTTATGATTCACCTATAATGCTTCTGTTTACTTGACTTTTATTTTTGGGCTACATGTGTGCTAGAAAGGCCTGTTTATTTTAGGAAGTAAAATAAAAGGAATTGATAGTGAGAAGGTTAGTAAATTATGTTTATTTTGATAATAGTTATTAATGTGGGAATTGTTAAATTATTTTTATATAAAATAATAAAACAAGTAAAATTATAATTTTTACTTAAGAAGAAACACAAAAACATTAAACATTAATATCTAAAAAAAATACCCAACAAGTAAAACAAAAATTACAGTTGATCAGATGACGTCTGACCGGACTTCCGAACGGAAATCCGGTAACACCCAATCCAAACGGACTATTTTGCTAATACCATTTCCCAACCCAGATTGCGAATACCCCTCGCCAAGACCTATCATAGTCCGAAGGGACTACGAATCTGGAACTCCAAAACTAAAACAAACATGAGCCATCTTCACTGTTCATCTATCACAGTCCAAAGTGGACTGTCATAACGAAAAACAAACCAGGCCAAAGGATTGTGGTCATGAGACCAATTTGGATTTAATCCAATTAATCATAGAATCACTGGTTATTTTCCAACTTACAAAATTCTCCTTTGTCTCATGTGACAAATTTAAAATCAACATATTTTGAAGTGGACCCATCCTCACCCACAAACATTTGATGACACAAACAAAGAAAATATGATAATTGGACAATTTTAATCATTGAATAAGAATGAAATATCTCCTTCACAAGAATTGAGCATTTGAGATCATGAATTTGGCTTAACAAATAAAACGTTTTCTTATCAAGGGTGGTACATGGGTTTGAGTCTTTTATTTCTATACTCATGTCATACCAATTTTAAGAAAAATAAATAAATAAATAAAATTGACATGTTAGATTTTCACATGGAATTTTTTTTTTCCCCCAATAATTTATGTGCCTAAATAAATGGGAGTGAAAATCAAGAAAAATAAAATAGAAGTAATCAACATAGAAAGAGAAGCCATCACAAAAATAAAAAATAAATAAATACTTGTTGCAATGAGAGAAACAGAGAAACGAGGCATTCAAAGGAAAGATGGATATAGAGGAAGGATGATATTTGATTTGTACTTTGAGTAAAGTATGTTCTTCTCATGGGAATGAATTTTTGATTTTCTTTTTGTTTCTTTTTCTTTTTCAGCTTTGAAAAAAAAAAAAATTAAAGCCAAACACTCCCCACTCTTTTTTTCCCCTTCACTGATTTCATAACCGTTTTAAGCAGTTATGCTTTTGCTCATTCTCCTCCTCCTTGTGTCATTTTCCCATACCCATCTGGCTAAGAAGAATAATGCTATATATACTAATTAGTAAATTAACGAATGATGTGATATAATTTTAAATGTTTTGAGTTTTTGTAATTTGTATGATGAGTAGGGCCATAGTTTTAAAATAATAATATCATAATTATATTAGTACACTAATTAATATATTAATTGGTACATGTAACATTACCAAGTTAAAAAAGAAAAAAAAAGAAACAGCCATTTCCAAAGCGCTCTCTATCTCTCTGGTTCTTTGTGCACTTATTCTACGTTTTCTGATGTTTGACCCATTTGTACATGTGTATACTAGCCTACGATGTTAGTGCAAAATAATATATATATGTATACATAAAATATTCATGCGAAATCAAACAGAGGATAAAACAATAAATTAATACGAAACACACCATGTATAATATGAAATAAAAATTAGAAAAAGTAGTGACATTACAAATAGAAAATACATATAGAAAACTTATACATAATAACAAATAACTCATTAAGGTGCCTTTTTTTCTCTTCATATTACGATTTCCAATGTATCAACAAAAAAAATTAAATGAGAAATATACAGAGCCAAGTTCTGGAGCTAGCCACATGAAAATGGGTCCAGATCCAACAGCTTCAACTGCATGTCTGAGCTTCTGGTCATGGACCACTATGGTGTGTGAAATTAAAGAAGAACAAAAAATTGAAAAGTAATACAAGGCCAAATGGAGCATGTGAGACTATCTATTTTTGCCTCATTTCATATATTGATATATATTTTTGTTGCCAAGTCACAATTTAAGACCATTTCTCTCTGACTATATAAAAAAACAATTAGTGAACAACTGGAGATAATGGTAGGCCTGTGCCCAGTTTGATGCTGCAGAATATTATTATTATTATTATAACATGGTGTCTGTATTTGTGTACAAACTGCAACAGCAGTACTACAAGAAGGGGGGGAAAAAATAAAGTAGGACATGTTTGGGTATTTTGTTGAGGGTTGAGAAGGACATTTTTAACCAAACACTAGTGAGTTCGTTTCAATTCATCAGTCCATTGACAAGATCAAAAGATGTTGTCTCTTTACCTCTCTTGCCGCTCATTTTCTTACCCATATTTTTTTTAGATACAAAATAATAGATATGCAGATATACTACTCTACTTATCTGTCAAGAAGCATTACCCCATCACGCAACAATCTGCAAAAGACTTCACCGCCAGAGTGATTCCCTTATGTAAAATGTAAAGCCCGAAACATGAAGTTTTGTCACAACTTTCTCTCCTCAAAATTGCTCTAATGTAATTGTGAAAATACTCCTTTCAAATCTAACCGCTTCAAACTTAATAATTGTCATGATTTGTTTTAACTGCTTCACACGCATGTAAAGTGTACCCACACCTCTAGTGTATATATATATATTTCTACCAACTTCTCTCTCATTTCTAATTCTCTCTTCTTTCTCATACATACACACATAGCATTTTTACCTAGTATATATAAGCTTTTATATATATATATATATATATATTTTTTGATAAATATTTATAAGCTTTAGATTTTACTGCTACTGAATTGATTTTCTAGCTTTGCCACTGAGCACCACCTTTCCTCTGGGCTGAAGATGGTTATTGAAGACTAAAAACATATCCCCTATTGCAACAACCACATAATAATTTATTTTTGGTGTGTCAAACATGTATTTAAAGAAAGAAAAATTCTACTAGCACAGAACCTGTTGCCCTCTTCATTCTTCACATTCTATATAAATTTTGTTGAACTAGTTTCACCTACCAAAAGCATTTTGGGTTCTTAATGTTTGTGGTGTACAACCAACTTGTTCCTAAGTATATTGTAATCCCCTAATAGGTTGTTTTTGGATTTTTGATAATAACTTTGGACCCAAGATTTGTTTGTTTTCAGCTGTAATCATATCACCAACCTTTATACTTGAGGCATATCCCTATTATAACTTTTATAAAACTAAACCTTATTTTATTGCAGTTAGCCTTGAAACATTGCCATCAGAACAGCAAGTGGTTCTCACATCGACACCAAAATGATCATAGGCCAAGTTTGGCATACACAAAATAATCCATCTTTTTATCTTTTTTCTATCACATTACTTCTCTATTTTTCTACACGTCTTTTCGTAAAAAGACAAAAAGTGTACTTATTTAGATCATCCCAAACAATCCTATAGTATTATTTTCTTCACACAAAACATTGATATAGAGGTGTTTCAGGTAAGATTAACAAAAACAAATAATTAAAAAAGAAAAAAGAATGTAATAATAATGGCCTGTTTGGTTGAATAAGATGATATCCATAACAAATAGTGGAGAAAGCCCTAGCCGATTGTGGAGAGGAGGAGAAAGAATTGAGCGAGCCGAAGGTTGCAAAGCTGAAGCTTTGACCGGTCGAGGAATCTCTTCATATTCAGGTCAGTCTTCGTCCCCCCTTTCTCTTTCTCTTTCTCTTCTTCCTTCGACCTTCTTTCTTAGTTTTATTTATTTATTTATTTATTTTTAATAAATATTTTGGAAATAATTTGTTTTAATTTTTTAATTTTTCTCTTTGGCATATGTTCCAATGAATTTGACGATAGATGTACTTGCATTTTTTTATTGCTGTACGTACATTTTGTTACTGATAGCTGCACTTTTATTTTTTTTTGGTGCTGATACCTTCATTTTTTCAAAAATCTTTTTTGGTACCTGCAATTCTTTGCTGATAGATGGAATTCACTTCTGAATCTTTAATGGAATGCAACTGTTATGTGATATGTGAATAAGCCACGGACTACGGTTTTATTTTATTCAGTGTTATATTGCAAATTTTTATTAATATTAAAAAATCTGACATACAATGTGGGTGTTTGGGAAGTGATTTTTTTTTTTTTGTAGGTTTTTTTAGTCATGGGATATTATTGAAGAATTTTTTTTTGTGTTTGGGAAGATAGTTGTGTTTTTTTGTGGTTAGATGTGATGTTTGTGAGAGAAATAGGATATTATTGAAGAATTTTTATTTGTGTTTGGAAAGATAGTTGTGTTTTTTTGTGGTTAGATGTGATGTTTGTGAGGGAAAAAGTGAAATGATTACAGGGTTTGATGGGATATTTTGTTTGGATTGATTTTTTTTGGTTTTGTAAAACATTTGTCTTGTAGTGAAAAAAATAAAAAAAAAACCCAAAAACCTAGTTGCCAAACACCGCCAATATCCGTGTCTAATGTATTTTTAAAATTTGTATTTGCGTGTTTGTATCATGACGAGATAACGAGATTGAAAGCATAAAAATGCTGCTTGGAAATGAATTGCTGAAGATTGCCATTAGTGAAAACAAACCGAGTGCAATTGAAAAGCAAAATATAGATGCTAGCAAAACTAATCCTAGAAACTACCACTAAAATGGCCAAGTTCCCAAAATATAGATGATTTTGTTGGAGATAATGTAACATATTTAACTTTGGAACACGCAAATATGTTAATCATCTCCAATAAAAGAGAGAAATAAAGGTAGAGTGGAAAATAGAAAAATGATAAAGGGTAAAAAGGCCGTTTAACCATTTTTGTTAACCCCGTTAACAGATAAAATTCTAACAAGGGGGGTCTATAATTTTTAAATCTCAAAAATGAATTTGTATTAAAGACAAACCTCAAGAAGTGTAAGTGTAATTTACCAAAAAGTAAATTATGTGGTTATTCTTTTTTTCCAATATTGGGCTTATTGTTCTCTCTCCCTCTCTTTTGTTTGTGTGTGCGTGTGTGTCAGTGTCAGAATTCTGGAATGAGCATGTATTCCAGAAACTGCTAGTCCTTTATGTGGTTGGTACTCCTGCCTCGAGGCCTAATTGGTTTCGATGCTGTCAAGATTATTACTTTTTATGGTGGAGAGAACTTCCATTCCTGTTTATTTGAAATTTGATTGTAAAATGTTAATTCGAAAAGTACAATACGTAATACTTGATATTTAAGATAATACTTCTTAGAATTTGAACATTTTGTTTTCTTTAATTGAAGAAATGTAATATAGATGGTGGTGTTTGGGAACTTGGTTCCTAAATTTTTTTCTCATTTTTTTCTCATTTTTTTCACTAAAAGACAAAAGTTTTGCAAAACCAAAAAAAACAAATTCAAACAAAATATCACATCCAACCCCATAATCATTTCACTTTTTCTCTCACAAACACCACATCCAACCACAAAAAAACTCAACTATCTTCCTAAACACTAAAATTTTTTTATCTAATAATATCTTACAACTAAAAAAATCTACATAAAAAATCACTTCCCAAACACCCACATAATGGTGAATCTATGTTATAAAGCACATCAGTTTTGAGTCTCACTTTTACAATGGTCTGATCTGTTTGATAAACTTTGAGAGCCTAGCTACCTCTCTTTCTCCCTTCTCTCTGTTCTGCTATACACTTTAGCTATCCCACCTACCCTTTTGCAACCACTCGTGACCTTAGCCCTCAAAATTGCAGATGATGAATATGGGTTTGTTGGGTGCTGGCCTTGCTGGGCCAGCGGGTCTAGATCTACGGCATTGGGACATCAACAATCTTTTGCCTTGATGGTGATTTCTCTCTCTCTCTATATATATATATATAACATATGTATATACATATTTGTATGCATACTTGTATATACACATGTTCATATTAATTCTCTGTTTTTTCATAATTGGAATTGAATTTGGATGTAGTATAATAGAATGCAGATTACTTGGTTGAGATTGATTGAGTGGTTTTTATTGATTTAAATTATGTTAATAAGGTAGACAAAAATGGTAAAGTCATATAGGTTATTGATTGTGAATAGAAAGAATTGGATGATCTGTTGCATTTTCTTTCCTAAGGTTTAATAGAGATTGAATAGGAGAAAGAAAAAGAAATTCTGGAAGTTTAATGGGGAAAAAGCCGAAGATATTTGTAGTGGGTTTCTGTCAATTGTTCTATGTTTGGTCCTCTATCATTCTCTTTTAGGAACATGTTTGTGCAAGTTTTTCGTGGTGTAAATATAATGTGTATCTATTTTCTGTTTTTCCGCGCTGTGCAGGACCTTAACATTATCCGCAATCATGGGGCGAGCCCACAAATAAAATCTGTGTTCTTATCATTTTAATATATATATATATATATATATATTTTGAAAGGAAAAAGAAAAGGCAAAGGTGATGTCCAAGGGAATAATCTATGGGCTTCTTGTTATCAACTTATGGCTCTATATAGGAATAATTTGTTGTCTAATTATAAGGATTGAAATTACTAAATGATTTTTCCCTCAATGTTATTATCACCCATATATCCTAAAGGGGAAGGTAACCTTAAGAATATGTATCTTTCTTTCTTTTCTGTTTTTTTATCCAGTTCTCTTAAGATGCATAATTCTCCTTTGTCCATTTGGCTTAGTAACTGAATAGTTATTATCCATGTTAACTGATTGGTTTAAGAGATTTAGATTATGTTTGATTTAATAAAAACAATATTTAGGGCTTCTTTTCTATGGTGGGTAAGTTTTGTGTTTGGGTTATGCAACTCTTCAGTTTCTCTCTGTAAAACGTATCGCTAAACTAACTTTTATCTTACAGGTGTAAGGTGCACAATCACGGAATACGAAAAGAATTTTGCTTTCATGTTTTTATTCTTAAGATACCAAAATCCCATTTTAATTAATTTCCCACTGTAGCCTGGTTTATTAGTTTACTTATTCACATTGGTCTAAACATTTCATCCTTCTTGAAAAAAAAAATTATTAAATTAATTAGTGACACGTCTGTTGCAGATTCCCAGTGGGTACTATGGTCCCTGAAGGCTGAAGTTACCCACAAGCTCATGCACATTAGAGGTATACACCGGCTCCTGTACAATATTTTTCTTCTCATGAATGAATAATGGTAGTGATACCTTTCAAGTATTTGCTTTATGTTTGAATTTCCTTGGTGCCATGAATTCTTGGAATTTCCTAAAGAATGGACATGAGAGTAGCTACATTGTTGCAGCTGCCTTGGTCCATGATGGTGTCAATGGTTGGATGGGATGGGACCTTGTTTTACTCCTTAGTTCTCTTGAAATCAAGACATGGATAACTTATGATCTTAGTGATAGGACTACATCTAATTAAGTTTGATAGCTCAAGCCTGAGTTGCTACTGAAAGCCTATGACTTTTATGTCTTTTTTCTGTGACAGTGGGTTTTAGGGCATTATATGATGTTCATTTCATTACAACATGGAGGGATTCCATCCATTAAATTGGACAACAAAATTTGCATCATTAAAATATATAAGATTGAATTTTATTAAGGGAGGTGTAATGCCATGCACTAAATAACTGGAGGCGCACACATTTATTTTCATGGAAAAAATTAGCATTAGACTAGTGACCTACTACCTCCATTCTTTTGTTCTCTTTCACTCAAACCCACTATAGTTTAAAAACAAGCTTATTTTCATTAAATCGGCAAATACCACAGTTGAACCAGTCACCATCAGAGTCGATTCATGAAAACTGCCAAGGGCAAGCCTGCATACCATGAAAAATCCCTCATTTGAGATGTGTTGGCGTATATTTGTAATTCAGTTCTACCAATCTCAACAATCAAACTAACAATCTCTCAATTATAACAATTAGATCTAATCCAATTCTCGGAAAACTAAATTATATTTAAATACAATTCAAGACAAGTGATTTTAACGTGGATAAATCACAATTGGAGCACCTCCAATTGTGGTGAAAAATCACAGGCCAAAGCCACAAACAATTCACTAAGAAGGTCAAAGAATTACATTATGAGAACACTCAATTACCTAGTGAATCCATACTCAAATTGACTCAAACTCATTGTTCATCTTCAAACACCGTCTTCTTCAATGAATTGTATCCCAACTGCTGGATCCACAATGAAGAGCTAGACTCCGAACTCCATCGAAGCCTCCATGCTCAAATTCTCATAATGCTTCTCTAGGAAAGTGAATTTAAAGAATGAATCCTTGACGATCTTCAATCCATGGAGTTGTAATCACTAGATCAATCTCAATTCATCAAGGTAGGTGGTTGGATCTTCATAGATCTCTCATTGTCTGTTTTTTGCACAGCATGAAGAGAAATGGGTGAATCTAGATCTAGATTTGATTTGAATCACATGCATATAATAGAATTGGCCGTCTTAGACCGCTTGAGTGAACTTACCACCGCTTGAGTAATTATTTCTTGATGCTCTGAGATACTGCAAATCTGCTAGGACGACTTGAGCGGTTTATGATCCTATGCAATTTCTTCATCTTCGGGTCTAAGATATTGGAAGGGTGAAATAACTGCTTGAGCAGTGCACGACTCATAGCCAAGTCACAAATAATGAGTTTTAGGCACAAGAAGTTGGATTAGCATCCAAATACACTCTCTACCTCACAGATATAAAAGAACAAATGCAAATACAATGTAACGGTGCTTGTCAAATGGAATTGCCAATCTAAACTAAGGCTTGACAATCTCTCCCATTAGCAATTCCATGACCGTGACAAAGCACTCCTAATACAACTTGAAAGAGCCTCAAGGCACAAGTAGAAATCTACAATCAACGTTAGTACCACGTGTAGCAATATCTAATGATGAATAGCAAGATTCAATATCCAATGATGGTACCCATCTAAAAAAAAAAAACCCAATGATGGTAAGCAAAGCATCAACAATATAGCCGATAAGCTTCCAACTCAAGCATCACAACCATCAAAATATATTCGCATGATAAAATGAACAAACTAATGCATAACAAGAGCATAATAAAAAAATCATAAACCTGATACTCTCTTTTTTCTTCCAGCGTGGACAAATGGTATATGACATGAGCAGCACAAAGTATCCAAATGTCAGAATAGGAGCAGCAAAGTATATCAAGTAGCATCAACGTCTTTGAGAAAATAGTGACAACAATGTAGCTAGTTGCAAGATCAAGAAGAGACAAGAATCGTAAAAAGATCATTGTGGAGGTGGCTGGTGCTCGATTAACTAGACAATATAGCCAAACTGAGTCGACATTTGATCGACATGACATGACCCGCTGTTTGATCAACACGAGGATCAATATGATTAAATTATGTATTGCCATGCGCAATGCGTGCATCTATCTAATCCAATTGGCCTCGGACTTCTTGTCAAAACTCAAGCTGGGTAATTTGGAACTGAGCAAAGCTCCTCCTAAAGCCACAAGCTGGAGCCTACCGTGGTGCTCGCTCTCCTTCACCGGTTGCCAAGGCATCAAAACAGCCTTTTCATCGTCATCATCTGTAGGAACACCCCTTGACCTGCCTCTCTAGGTCTCACATGAGCTTGATTTTGAGAGATGTTGCATTTGGTAATGGGCTTAGAGATAGGGACGAAGAATATCATCAATGGTATTGGTAGAGAGAGACTGAAGAAAACAATGAATTGAGAACCCGTAATGGAGGCCAATGGTCTTCTTATTATGGGTATGCTAACCATGTTACGGTAGATAGTATAAGGAGATTCACATCAATGGACTGACTCGAAGCAAGGGTAACTAACACGAATCCCTTTTACTGATTGACATTGAAGCTATAGGAATAGGGATTGGCATTGGCATTGACAATGAGAGGCGATAAATAAGGGTCAGTTCAAATTGTTTGCTTAACCCATCAAACCAAACTTGTGGATGACCAACAAGTTCAGCGGCAATTTGGTGAAAATCAATGGGATTGGTGTAGGGACACATGTCAACAGGGTAGTCAACAAAGAGAGGTTGTTTGATGCCTAGTTGAGAGGCAATCAACTTGGGTGAAATGGTAAGTTCTTGACCTTGCATAAAGGTCTTGAAAGCAGTCTGGACATCATCAATGTTGTAAATGTTACAATAAATTCACGAACCTAGTTAAGATTGACTTGACCTAAAATGTTCAAGAGGTGTTCTCCCCCTACCAGAGTAAACCAAGGATGGGTGGGGCTATCAATTAAGGCATCAGGCTAGAAATTATGTTCTAGAAGAACGACCCTATCCTTGCAGAGGGAGTTATATAGGTCTTGTTTAGCATTCTGAAACTTGACTTGGTTATAGGTACACTTTCAGGCAGATTTTTTAAGTTCTTGTGGGAGGATAAGGGTTCCATGAAGAAAATTAGGCTAGAGAGCCCCCAATGAGGCACTATCAACCACACACACACACAAATAGATCAATTAGAGAGGTCAAAATAATAACAAAAAAGAAAAACAACTAAAAAGAGAACCCTCCAAACAACTAGCAAATTGAAACAGTCCTAAACCGGGGTTTGGTTATTTGCCAGTCCGCTATTCATAGTTTGATTTATAATTTACTCTCAAACTTCCTGAACCGTACCGTGCACACCCCTATATAGGAGCATGCAATCACAATCCTGCATTTGCAATTGCAGGTTTAGGTATGCAGTTCATTGAAGCACTTGGGGCCTTATGTTTTCATCAGGTGGTCCCCACCTCTTGCAAATTGCCGTCCTCGTTTTAATTGATTTTGTCCACTTCCCATGCATTCAATGGACCTCTAATTGCATTTTTTTAGGAGAAAAACTTGTTGTAGACAATTTTTTACCAAAAATTGACAACTCAGGGTTGGTCAAATGCATGAATTACCGTTTCACCAGGCATTTTTTAACACATTTTGAAAACATTGTTTTGGTTAAGGTTGAAAAACACTTTGAAAACTTAGGTTTAATTTGGGAGTTAATCCAGAGAGTTTATTGGAAGTTCATGAGCACTGCTACACTAGAAATGTGACACTTTCAACATCGAAAAACACCCGGGGGTGCCAAAGTCTTAAGGCCAGTCAAATGGGGTGTTTACACTAGGCACCAATTGTATCTATATTGATGTAAATGCTCATGCTCCCCCTCAAAACCTCAAATTTTTTTGGTTATGTTTCTTGCGCTATCATAGGCGACTTTTACACTCATGAGTATTAGAGCCTTGTCCAGTGAAGTATGGATTGCACTAAAGACGATCCTGGAGGTTATCACTTATAGTTAGCCCTTTTTTCAAGCCATAAAGATGGTACTGGAAGTTCATGAGCACTGCTGCACTGGAAATGTGACACTTTCAACATCCGAAAGCATTGGAGGGTGTCGAAGTCTTAGGTCCACTAGTCAAAATGGCTTGTCGACACTAGGTATCAATAGTATCTTTGTTGACGTAAAGTCAAGTGCTCCCCTTCAAAACAACCTCAAAAATTTTATTATGTTTCTTGCGTTGTCATATACTTAGGAGTTTGGGAGCCTTGTCCAATGAAGTATGGATAGCACTAAAGACGGTATGGAGGCTATCACTCATAATTAGCCCTTTTCTCAAGCCATAAAGATTAACGGATGAGGAAGCAATGAAAGTGCATAAAGATGGGGTTAAAACATCAACATCAACAATTGGTGTGCTAGACAATGGTCAATCCACAACGTGTTAGAAATACTTGAGAGAAGTCCATAGAGTCAAACTAAGTTCCACTAACTCTCCTACAACAAATTGGTTCTAGGGAGGGCTTTATTTATATCTTTTATGGCATTCAACATCATGCCCACGAGCCTATTCTCAGAGCAGTCGCAAGGAGCGACATTGTACACCAACCAAAATTCCTCCCTCACGATGATGCTCCCACGACTCGAACCCATGACAACTTGGCTCTGATACCAATTGAAAAATCCCTAATTTGAGATGTGTTGATTTATACTTATAATTCAATTCTTCCAATCTCAACAATCAAACTAACAACCTCAGCTACCACAATTAGATCTAATCCAATTCTAGAAGAACTAAATTAGATCTGAACACAATCCAAGACGAGCAATTTTAATGGAGAAAAATCACAATTACAACA